TTCCTAGATGGCGTTTCCCCCTTCGATTTATCACTTTTTTTCCCCATACAAATTGACTCAGTCAAGTGGGTATGATTGGGGATTAGAATCTAAGCACTTAGGCCGCACTGGGTCCCCGGTGATAGCATGTGATCTCAGAACAGGCCCATTTTCCATAGCTCATGGGTTAGTGGGTTTCTCGAACCAGTTGGTTCTTTTTAATATTGCTTGCTTATGCCTTGTATGGCCGCAAGGCTTGGAAGCGTGTATCTTCATAGTGTTAAAAACGTTTGAGGTTGTGCGCTGGGCAAAAACATATAAAAACACCTCCTGTTCTCCTCTTCTTCTATCTGTTTACAACTGCGACATTAGTCGTAGCTGCTGAGTCCTAGCCTGCGCTCGTGTGTCCCTGATAGACATTGGCCCGTGAGGGCATTAATTAGAGTAGAGAAGTCTAACCTGTTGCATTGTTTTTGGTTTTGTATTTTTCTGTTTTTAATTTCCCCAGGTGAGCCTGGAAGTGTCTGTCTGTCTGTCTTTTTGTTTGAGTTTAATAGAATTAAATGAATGAATGGCATGAATTTTGTGATTAAATCTGCCTGAATTTTATTTACTATGCAGTTAACATTGATTTGTTAAAAACTTTCCACTTTTTGTTCTCAAAATAAAGCACAAAAAAAATCAGGAAAATTCAAAAAATTCAATAAAATAATTCATTTGATTCATTCAAATGAATTCATTCGAAATGAATTACAACAACATTCAATTTATTTCACATAGAATTGAATTAAACAAATCAGAAATTTCATGGCATACTATTATAAAACATAAATTGAATGATTCATGCAGGGCTCTATTGAGCACCCTTTGAAAAGTGAGCAAATTAGAACATTTTTTTTGAAAGTCAAATTTTCAACTTTTTCCCTGGGGCTTAAAACAAAAATGTTTTGATGCAAAGTTGTTCCCGAATCAAAATTAATAACTAAAAAAAAAAAAAATTCAAAAGAAATTTCCTTGTATTTTTTATGATTTTTTGAAAATAGCTATTTTAGCCGATTTTTCTTTCTTTTCATACAAAATTTTACTGAGATGTCTCCATTTTTTTTCGACCCTTTCTAAGATATAGTTGTCCGATCTGGTCGGTTCTGACTTATATACTACCTGCAATAGAAAGAAGACTTTTGGGAAAGTTTCAAGCCGATAGCTTCAAAACTGACAGACTAGTTTGCATAGAAACGGACGGACAGACGGACATGGCTAGATCGACTCGTCTAGTGATGCTGATCAAGAATATATATACTTTATGGGGTCGGAAACGTCTCCTTAACTGCGTTGCAAACTTCTGACTGAAATCATAATACCCTCTGCAAGGGTATACAAATAAAAAAAAATTTTCACACAACTTCATCCCCACATTTTAGTGTGACCGTATATCCTTACGATTTTTAATTGGTTCCTAAATTCCAAATTGTTTATTTTTCCCACCTCTATAAATTAATTATTTGTCATGGCTTCTCAAGCAAAATCCGCTCTCAATAAATTTATAACTTCAGCTGACACTCTTAGCCATTTTGAGATTATCATAAATGTTCCAGTTGCATCCACACCGACCTTATCCGCCTGCAAAATCCGTAGGGAGCACGTCAGTTCCTTATGGCAAATGGTAAAGGAGGCATATTACACATGCTCCAAGTGAATTGTAGCTGCAGGTGACAGCGCCGCAGACACCAAATCTATTCTCAAAGCGAAGTATAACGAAACGTATACAATATACGAAAGATTTGCCGCTCAGATCCTCGATCTTGAAATCCAACTGGGCTCCTCCCAAATATCTCAAGCTCCAGTAACTCCGTCCCAGAGTTCCATATCTTATGGCTGTCGACTCCTATCGACACAGAGGTTTTCTCGGGCAATTATCTTCGCTGGCCGACTTTCCGGGACCTTTTTACGGCGATATATATAGACAATCCGCGTCTCACGCCCGTTGAAGAAATATTTCATTTAAATTCCAAAACTAGTGGCGAAGCTCATTCCATAGTTTCAAAATCCCCACTCACCAATGATGGCTTCCGCTCAGCTTGGACAAATCTAACTGAGCGTTTCGAAAATAAGCGATTGCAGGTGAACAGCCACCTTAAAACTCTTTTTAATGTGCAATCAATAGCAGAAGAGTCTGGAGCCGCCTTAAAAGAAATTCAAAGCACCATTCAAGGGTGCTTAACCTACTTAAAATTTTCCGGCATCAACATTGAGAATTGGGACCCTATCCTCGTTTACATGTGCTCTACGAAACTGCCAAAGCTGACGCTCTCATTATGGGAGGAATCCATCCAAAATAAAGCCGAAATTCCTACTTGGCTCAAGCTTGATTCCTTTTTAACCGAGCGCCATCGAACTCTACAGGCCGTCGATAGTATCCGGTCTGTTAATTCCCTCCAAGTTCATTCTAGAGACAGAAATCAAATGGCAGAATTACCAAGAATAAATTATTTTACCACGAGGGTACTTCCAATACCCAAAGGCTGCGACCTGTGCTTAAAGGAAAAACACCGCGTGGGTATACCCAAAAAAATGACGGTAAATGATCGTTTAGCCTACATCCAAGGTAAACAGTTATGCTCCAACTGCTTTGCAAGCAGCCATAAATTGCTGGATTGCAAAAGCGCTTGCAATTGTTTTACTTGCCAGAGTCGGCATCACACGCTGCTGCATCCAAGCAACACTTACCCAATTACTTCGGTTCCATCCAAACCTGCAGGACGAGTGCCCGCCTCAATCCCTCAGAGAATTCCTTTTCAGCGCACTTTTCCAAAGTCTTTCCAGACCCCTGTATAGAGAGTCCTTCCAATGCAAGTCCTTCCAGATATTGGGTTCCATATCCCGCCCTGGATGGCAGACGTTCCCGAGGTATTAAATCCTACCCATGCCGAGTCTGCCTCAAGATTCATCCTCTACGGAAATGCCACCCCTTTCTGACGCTAAGTGCCGAGAAACGCATCCAAGCAGTTCAATTCTATCAATACTGCAAATGCAATACTGCAATGTTTACGCCAAAAGGGCGTTAAATTTCGGGAGGCAGTGTCGAGCGGCAGTTTTCTCCAGATGTCCACATCTCGCTCGCTCGCACTGCCCTTCGCTCACCGCTCCGCTCTGGAGCTTCTAAGATAACCTAGGCTTAAGTAGTTCCTATTTACAAGTGTCCAAATAAACACACGCACGTCGCGTAATAACACGAAGTTTTTCCACCGTGCTTTAGATATAATTCTGCGCGGATCTCACCCGTTTTTTCCTGGGACTCATCATCTCCTACAATCAAGCCACCCCCGGCCCAACAGACACAATAATGCTATCGGTGGGCATGTTGATCTTGCTTGCCAAAAGTTGGTCTTATTTGCTTGTATTAAAAGTTGATGTATTGGAATATATTGATATTAACCAAATTTTGTATCTTGTCGCCATTTATGTGATGTATTAAACACGATGTTTTTATTCTGACTGTTTACATATTCTATAGTCCAGTTCCATGTTGTTCTTTCTCTTTCTCTCTAGACTTGTATAACGTATTCTTAAGTGCTGTGTAACATATTACTAGCGTTGCCAGATTGATCTTAAAATTAAAATTAGTCGTTATACAAATACCTAATACTTACTAAAGGATTTACCTATAATATCACAAAATTTCTTAAATTCTGTTTTAAATATTTGGGGTTTGAAGTTAAGGCAGGTGAAATAATAACTTTTTAACGAATCCGATTTGAACAATTTTTTTACCATTGATAAACACTATAAAACTACATATTTACTTTTCCGAAATCTTAAAAAGTTGTGGGCGCCAGACATCTTTTCAAATCGTTTAAGGCGATTATGGGCGGTAGGGGGGGCGTAGCCTTCGTCTAAAATAAACTTGCGCTGCTTAAGAAGCCCAAAAATATTTGTCGGTAATCCCAACTTCCCAGCTTTTGTAGTTTTCGAGATCTCAGACAGACAGACGGACATGGCTAGATCGACTCGGCTAGTGACCCTGATCTAGAAAATAAACACTTTATAGGGTCGGAAACGCTTCCATCTCTCTGTCACATACTTTTGCCCGAATACAATATACCCTTTTACTCTACGAGTAACGGGTATAAAAACAAATATACTATAACTAGCAGGGTCGGTAGCCTGCATACCTTTATATTTGATACTTATTTTAAATTTAAAAATTCCGTGTTTTTAGCTTATAAGCCGGAAAAAGATATTATCATAACTTGTTTTCTTAATTTCCGCAAAAACAACAGTATATTGTCGCCAAAAACGATTTTAAAATGTATCTAACGGCCACATATTTTAAGAAATTTTGAGCTGTTGGCGCCGGTGGGGATAAATGACCCCTCTCAATATTTTAGTTGTTTTCCTATTGAAAATACCCGTCGAATGAGGGGGATTGTAACTAACAAAATGGCGCGAGTATTAAAATAAAAAAAAAATTATTTTTTTTGTGGGGGCAATGGTTAAACAATTTTTTTTAAATCTTAATTTGTTTTTATTTTTAAGAAATTAAAAACTTTTTTTTTTAGAAATTTTATTTTGAAAGAAGAGGTTTTAGAGGAATTAATGCACAAGATATGAAGTCAATCGGATTCATATAACCGGAGATACAGATTTTCAATGAGAGGGTACTTTTTCAAATTTGAGATTTTTGGCAAACTTAAAAAAATTCTAACTAAAAAAACAATTTTTTATCGGTCAAATCCTGATACACGTGTTTACACGTGACCGCCGAAAACCAGAGAGCTAGTTCTTGCTCTCCCGCCCTGCTTCTCAACGCTCAAACGCCATGGAGTGAGCAATGCAAAACTCCAACCGAGCTTCAGCCACCTGCTGCAACAACAAGAGCAACTACTACGTCAACTACAACGGCCTCTGTCGCCAACATTGCAATAACGACTCCACTCTCTTCTTCTGCAGCGGGTAAAGCAACAACACTATTAAGTGCAAAAATCGGGTCAAACGGCAAAATCAAAGCTACGGTTGAAGAAATGACAAATCCGCAAGCGGGTTCGGCCATGCAGACAGGCATGGATCGCTACATAAATATTTCCAAGCGCAAGCTAACGCCCTCAAAAAATGCTGACGGCAATAAGCCCAAAGTAAACCGTACCAGCAAAGGCCCTAAAAATCTCGGGCCACTAAATGAAAATAGATTTTCCATTCTGGCGGAGCACGAAACAGAGTCTGAACAATTAGCCCCAAGGAAACTGAAGCCGCCACCTATCTTTATTCGGGAGAAGACCTCGAATGCCCTAGTCAACAATATAGTTGAGCTAGTCGGAAAAGATAGCTTTCATGTTATTCCGTTTATGAAAGGGAATATAAATTAAACTTAACTGCAAACCAGAACTGAAGACGATTTCCGAGCAGTGTCAAAGTACTTAAACGATGCCAAAAAGAATTACTAAACGTACCAGCTAAAAAGCTGCAAAGGCCTGCTTAAGGGAATAGAACCCGATGTGACCCCCTACGAAATTACAGAGGCTTTAAAAGAAAACGGTTTCTGTGCAAAAAATGTTATAAACATTATGAACAAAAACAAGAAGCCGCAACCACTATTCAAAGTCGAGCTGGAGCCAGACAGCAGAACTTTGAAAAAAAACACAGTGCACCCGATCTACAAGTTGCAGTACCTGCTGCATCTTAGGATCACAGTAGAAGAGCCGCACAAACGGAACGGGCCAGTGCAATGCACGAACTGCCAGGAATACGGACACACCAGGGGTTACTGCACCCTCAGGTCAGTATGTGTAGCTTGTGGAAACATCCACGACTCCGAGCCCTGCCCTGCCAACAAGGAAGACTCTCTCACTAAAAAGTGTGTAAACTGCCAAGGAAACCACACAGCAAACTACAGAGGCTGTCCAGTCTACAAGGAGATGAAAAGTCGGATGCAACGAACGACAACGGCACGCTACCAGAACACACAGAACAATTACATGAGATCACAAACGACACCGGAAGTTTTTTTTCGCAAAAGCAGCCAGGTCTTCATTTGGCCCTTCAATTACCACCAACGGCATTTCTTACGCCAGTGCTCTAAAATCAGGCACAGCTCACATAGAACCGAAAATGGATAACATCCCGCAGGCCATGGGACATCCCCAAAGTGACATGGAAACTATGATGATCACTCTGCAACATAATATGATGGAATTTATGTCCTTCATGAAAACCACCATGCAAACCCTTGTGCAAACCCTTGTGCAAACCCAAAACATTTTGTTAAAAATACTCGCAGCTCAGCAGTCCAAATAAACTATGCCTAGTCTTCAAATAACTTTGTGGAACGCCAACGGTGTTTTACGGCATAAACCTAAAATAAGTCAGTTTCTGAACGAAAACCACATCGACGTTCTGTTGCTGGCAGAAACGCAGCTCACCAGCAAATATAATTTTCAAATACGGGGATACACGTTCTACAGCACAGATCATCCAGATGGTAAAGCACATGGCGGAACCGGCATCTTAATAAGAGACCGCATCAAACACCACTTTCACCAAAGGTTTGCAAAATGTTATTTGCAAGCTACATCGATAAAATTACAGTTGGGCAACTGCAACCTTGCCATTGCCGCTGTTTACTGCCCCCCCCGTTTTACAGTCTCCGAAGACCAATTCATGGACTTCTACAATTCACTTGGAGAGCGATTCATAGCAGCAGGAGATTACAACGCCAAGCACACACACTGGGGATCCCGCCTTGTGACCCCCAAAGGAAGGCAACTATATAATGCACTCATCAAGACATGCAACAAACTGGACTACGTTTCGCCAGGCAGCCCTACATACTGGCCTACAGATCCTAGAAAACTACCTGACTTAATTGATTTTGCTGTGACAACAAATTTTTCTCGCAATCTAATATCTGCAAAATCGCTTTTGGATCTATCATCGGACCACTCACCAGTGCTAATAACTCTTCTTGAAATCCCGGAATTAATCGAGCACCCTTGGAGGCTGACGTCGCATCGAACCAACTGGCTGAAGTTCAAAAAGTACGTAAGTTCCCACATTGATCTGACTCCACAGCTCAACATCAAGGAGGACATCGACTGCTATGCCGATGCACTGGAGTCTGTACTCGTCGCAGCAGCCAAAATCTCTACACCGCAAGGGAGGGATGGGCGCACACACCAACACAAAATTAACTTGGAAATCGAACAGCTTGTTTTGGAGAAAAGACGTTTGAGGCGTGCTTGGCAAACCAGCAGATCGCCATCCTCGAAACAAAGTCTTAAGGAAGCTGGTCGCAGACTTACCAGGGCCCTAAGGCACGAAGAAGTAGAAGCACAACGCCAGTACATTGAGAAACTTTCACCCACCAGCGCCAAGCATCCCTTGTGGAAGGCCCACCCAAATCTAAGTGCGCCGTCCGAAACAGTAATTCCCATAAGAGACTCGTCAGGCAGCTGGGCCAGAAGCGACAAAGACAGAGCTTGTAAATTTGCTCTACACCTTCGAAATGTCTTTCAGCCAAACCCTGCAACAAATTCATTCGCACTATCGTCGCCGCCAATTCGAATCGAAACTGAGACGGACCCAATTCAGTTTCAACCAAACAAAGTTGCAAAAGTCATCAGCGAGCAATTGAAACCAAAAAAGGCCCCAGGCGGTAATCTAATAACTGCGAAAATGCTAATTGAACTCCCAAACTGTGCAGTTGAGGTCATTTGTAAACTCTTTAACGGGATTACACGACTTGGCTACTTCCCAAAAAAATGGAAAAAATCTGTAATCATAATGATCCCAAAGCCAGAAAAGATCACACAATACCAGCTTCATACAGACCGATAAGTTTACTCTCGTGTCTGTCAAATCTGAAAGAGCGCAACGTTATTCCGGCACATCAATTTGGCTTTCGAGAAAGCCATGGAACAATAGAGCAAGTCAACACATTAACAACGGAAATACGGTCTGCATTCGAATATCGAGAATACTGCAGTGCGGTATTCCTTGATGTTGCACAGGCTTTCGATCGAGTCTGGCTTGATGGCCTTATGCACAAAATCAGAACTATTCTGCCGGAAAACACTCACATGATATTAGAATCGTACCTTTTCAACAGAGAATTCGCCGTGAGATGCAACACTACAACATCCGACGATTACACTATAGAGGCTGGAGTTCCCCAAGGTAGCGCCCTTGGTCCAACTCTATTTCTCCTTTACACCGCAGATATTCCCACGAACGTCCGGCTAACTACTTCCACATTCGCAGACGATACCGGGATCATAAGTCTGTCCAAATGCCCAATTCAGGCAACAGCACTACTAGCTGATCACCTCGTGGTAGTGGAGAGGTGGTTATCAGACTGGCGTATAAAAATAAATGCGCAAAAGTGTAAACACATAACGTTTACTCTTAACAGGCAAACGTGTCCCCCGCTAACTCTGAATAACACGCCACTTCCACAAGCTGACGATGTAACGTACCTCGGCGTTCACCTAGACAGGAGACTTACATGGAGGAAACATATCGAAGCTAAGAAAATTCATCTAAAACTAAAATCCATTGGCCTCCATTGGCTCTTAAATGCTCGCTCCCCCCTCTGCCTGGACTTCAAGGTCCTGCTCTACAATTAAACACTTAAGCCAGTCTGGACATACGGCTCCCAGTTGTGGGGAAACGCGAGCAGCAGCAACATCGAGATTATCCAGCGAGCACAATCAAAAATCTTGAGAACTATCACTGGGGCACCTGTTACGTGGGCATATTAGTGCCCCAGTCCTGAGAAGGACTTGGGCCGAGGGAAAGTCATCCGATGTTCAGGCACCAATTTTGCCGGCATAAGCTCGCCGGATGGGGTGGGTTCTTGGTAAGACTTTTTTCTCTCCAACATAACGAGAATAAATATTGAGATGCCTGAAAAATAGTAAGAGTCGTAAAGTCCGTCGGTCATCAGTCTACATTGCCCCACAAGCTTAGCTTTCGCTTGATCGTAACACGATCGGGCAATGTTTCGGCCACATTCCCTCCCCTTCACACGTTCGTGTGCCAAATGAATCGTCGCGGGCCGCGCAATACGATCCCCTATTGTCAAGGTTGTTCGTCAAAAGTTATGTCATTATTCTTCACCTACTCCACTTATCGCGTCAGCACCCCCTTTTTGAAAACTTAGCACTTCATGATTTTAAGTACGTTTTCACATTATAATTTTATTGAATGAAATATTGGCTAGTGCCATTTATGAGTAATATTATTATTAAGATTACATATGAATTTAATTCTAATTGACCAACAAAGTTTGTTAGCGGAGAGTATCGAATTTACCACCCGTACAAGGTGCACACGTCAGAAAATTGCTGACTATTCACGACTACAAACGCCGCTCTGAGGCTCTTGTTTTTGTTCATGCAAACACAAGGCTGATACTCGCCGCTGAAAAGTCAATTTTTTATTATATTATATAAATTACAACCAAAAGGGTATACTGATAGATGTAAACTTTTGTAATGCCTTGAGGAGGCCTAAAGTGGAATTTTTACTTTCAGATAGTCAAACAAAGGCACGAATATAGTGACATATCCATTGTTCCACATAACTTTATGCACATGTCCATACGCCCACACACTTACACACACATACACCATCCCCGAATTCACCCTTCAGATAACCTTAGTTCGCCACCAGCTAATATCTATTTGCAAATGCACCCAGGCTTTAGACTAAACATCCAGAACGAATTAAATTACGTTATCAGTTCGTTCCCACACTTTCGGACCCTCAATGGAAAATTACCATGAGAAAGAATCCCCAAAAGATTTAGACTAAACAATCGGATTGAGTCGCCGGTGCATTATCAATCAACAATCCAAAGGGCAATTTTAAAACTCACTCAATTAAAGCTAACTCCACTCATAGAAAGCTCTAAAGCTCAGAACCGAGGTATGATCATCAAAGAAGTTTAAGTTAAGAAGCGAGTTCAGTTTGAGACTTGTCTAAAGACAGTCGGTGTTCTTCCAAATAAAAAAATATTGTAACCAGTTTAAAATTAAAATGAAATAAAGTTTTTTTTTATATGAAACTTATGGTGCAAACATTTTATTGGCGCAGCCGGTAGGATCTTAAAGTCATTTTAAAAGTCATCGGTACTGATCAACTAAAGGATATTACTATACGACTAGTTTGTCCTGATCAGCGAAAAATCCGTGAATATACAAAACGACAAATATCGAGATCCGCCAAAGAATCTATGTGTAATTTTCGCACGCAGAAACTAAAATAAAAATCCAATTCGGTCAATACACGCTTGAAATCTAAAAAGTGTCAATATTGAAAACAAAATATAAAACATTAAACATGGCAAATCCACCAGTGCTACCGCAGT